AGGGTCATTTGTTCATGCGGGACACGCTCGTGTCAGGCTGGACACCTGCTGCGCACCCCAGGGCTGTCCCGCTGATTGATAGCCTAATTAATACCGCCCCAGATTCAACCGATTTCTAACTGATGGGGTTGGAGCATAATTTCAATGTAGGGGGGGCGGGAATTAAAAATTTAAATTTCCGACAGCTAGTGGTAAATGACCCCTTGCCGAACATCCTTTGAAAGTGAATGAAGGCATCGGTTTGCACTGCCCTCTTGACACAAGCTAGAATGCATTACGTGCGCTGTGGTTTAAGAGCAAATGAAAACATGAAAAACCACGCGCAACCTTGCACATGAGAGACGGTCCATTGGGTGGCCCAGCAGCTCCTCTGGGGTACGGAGGAGTGGTTCGTGTCTCTGGCCCTGTGAGAGGTAGGCTGTGGGTTCTAATTCAAGGTGGGACGCTGCCGTTGACCCCTTGAGCATCTGTGCTGGGATTGCGCCGGTAGGATATCCAGTTGTTTAAATGCTTAGAAAGGCAGGTTGCTCTGGAGAAATGTCTTCGCTGTGGAGTTATTGTAATACCCTATCCCGTCTGCGGGTGGCGGCAGCGAGGCAGGTGCCGGTGCATGTATTCCTTTCAGCTGGACCTGGCCTGCAGGCGGTTGGATAACGGGGTGAGAGGCCCCAGCCCAGCCGCCTGCGGTTCGTGGGGCATGATCCTCAGGTGGGGCGACTCGGTACAGCCGGTCAGACTAGGAGGAAAGCAGGGCCGCAGCCCCAAGTACCACGCCCTTGGCGTTTTCAATCCAAGTCCGTGTCCATGGAGACAGGACAGGACCGTCAGCTCTGCGCAGGAGTCCAGTAGGTGAAGCTTCTTGAAGAGCCCCAGTGAACCAGCTGCCTGCCCCTTACCACCTCCTCCTCCTCCTCCTCCTCCTCCTCTGCTGCACGTGGCCTGGCAGAAGCCCCCGACACAGAGCCAGCCGGTACAGAGATATCCAAAGCCCCCCCCCCTTAAAAAAAAACAAACATCAGTTCCCGAAATCCCGAGGGCATCCGCAGGAAGCGGCGCTCCAGTCGGCGAGACCGGCGTGCGGCCGTTCGCCGGGCTCCTCTCATTATTGCGAAAATCCGTGGCGCTGTTCCGCGCGCCGCTGTCTTGGTGATGGATTCTTATCGCCCTGACGACTTTAATAGGCTTTGCCGCTGATCGCTGAGGAAAGAACGGCTTTTTACTGCTGTTGTCGTTAATGACTATGTAGATTTACCCAAAGGAATTCTGGCGAGCATCGTAGCTCTTGCGGTCTTTTGTACACAAACATTCATCACCGTTCTGAGTCCTCGCCGTGTGTCTTTTGCCAATTCAATTATCATCTTTGATTTTTCACCTTTTTTTTTTTTAATAGCAGAGGGATTAGAGTGACGCACTGAAGTGGCAAGAATGCTTTTAAGCCCTTCGTGCCTAGTCCAAAAAAGTTAAAGCTCATAATGAATTTTGATATTCTTCCCAGAATTCCCACCTAGGATGCGGTGAGTCTTCCAGGCAGTTTTGGACTAAACAAAACAAAACCAAAAAAAAACAGAACAGATGCCATTTTCAGTCATAACCCACAGCAGTCAAGCAAACCTCTACTGCATTACTGAGTATTGTGTGATGTCTGCAGAGGCTATTGACAACTTTCATAAACTGGATAAGCAAGAGATCGTTTGCAATTAAACCAGGAGACACTGTTGCTCCAGGACAAGGGACGTGTGAGAAATGAATGTTCTTTCTGGTCTTGCGCTTGTGATGGATATTATGAGAGTCCTGTTACATGAGTATAAAGACCCCCTGAGGCACCCTGGGAACATGACCTTACCCCACCACCTCCTCTGAGCTTCTGCTGTGTAAAGCTTTGGCTTGATCGTCTGCGTGAGGCCCTGCCCAGCTCTGTGCGTAAATCTGCTCCGTTTTCCTCTGTGTGTCGTGGCTGTTTGTCTCAAAATGGCAGGGCTCAGGAAGAGACACCAGCTTGCAGAGCAACCCGGTGAAGCGTGGCCGCGGCCTGGGGGGCTTTGAAAAGCTCCAACTTCTGCGTACAGGAGAGAAAGAGCAGATGAAACGCCACCCCTGCATGCTAATTCACACAAGCCCCCAAGATGCTCTCTGTAGATGAAGTTGGCGTGACCAGAAACGCATTTATTTTAGCTTAAGGAGGGGTTGGGAGAGCAAAGTAATGAGAGAGATCATTGTGTTGCACTCTGTGGATCTGTATTTTGATGGCCATGTAATGTACAGTATATCCTTTTCCGTTAAAAAACAAATGAGATATTTTGAGGCACAACGCCACCCATATTTACGTGAAAAATGTCAAATTTCGCTATATATACAGTATTACACATCATGCATTAGAAAATAATAATAAATTACCCACCCTCTCTTAACAAGAAAAAAAACTGAACATGTGTAGTCTATTGAGGAGAGGAATCGTTTTGCTCCCCTTCCATGATTAGCGTCAGTCTTGCCGAGAGATTGACACCATTTGCTGAGGAGGTGCTAGGTGGAGGTGACAGGTTTTGGTTGGTTAATTGAGTTGAAAAAAGCTTCCAATTTCAGTTGTGGTTTGGAAGTTTGCTGCTTGCAAATAAATATCTCTGAAAGCTGGGAAGTGAGAGCAATATGGCTGAACGTCCGGATCAGATGATGAGATAACCGTGATCAAGTCGTCGAGATGAGATCTTAAATCGGAGAGCTTCATTTCGCAAATTGGCGGCCCTTCTTAGGACTCACCATCTTAGCGATGTCACATGGGTGAGAAAAGACTAACCCCCTGTGTGGTGTTACACTTCCTGTTTGTCTTGGCAATGGGGCCCATCGGGATGTCAACTATCGTGGATAAAGGTATGTTGACTGAACATCTGCAGCGGCGCTAGGAGAACCTTATGTTTTGTTTGTCTGTTTGGGTCCCTGGTATTTGCTCTTAAAGACGTTTAAGGAAAAAGTGCCCTCGACAAACTCCCAGCAGTGCTTTCCTGAGTGTGACGTTGGTGCCACAGACTGAGGGGTTGCTGTGTGTTCCCGGCGTACTTGAAAAACGGGTCCCGCGATGTTGCTGGAAAATAGATGTTGGTCTCGCTCCCTTTCTTCTTCCAGTCATGTTTTATTAATTTTTAGCACTTAAACTAAATTAATGAAGAAGCCCAGAGCGTAGCAGAGAGCCATATGCCGGCCTGCTGCCCATCACACACACACACATTAAAATGCACGCACTGAACAGACAGCCCCAAAGAAATAACATCCAGTCATGTTTAATAAATCAAGAGCTACTCCTGACTGAAGTCAGCAGTTTTGTTTTCGAGCAGAGCGAGAAAAAATCAATACATATTTTATATGGATTAAAAAACAAGTGCTGGGTGAGAGAGGCGGTTCATTTGCAGGCTTTGGCAGACATTTGCCCCTCCTGGTCAATACGATTAAAGTTGTAAAGTTAAAGACCCCTCAGCACAGTTTATATCTTAATGGGACTCCCACGGTATGCTGTCAATGTGTGAGAGCCTAATTTGTAACTCATTTTTTTGAAAGAACGGGGATGTTTTAATTATGCGTGTAATATTTGTTTCCGCATTAATCCACTACATCAATTTATTGTTTGAGGAACTAGCTAACAGCTAATCCCGTTAGATCTGTACATTGCAGCACAGAATGTGACCTTTTTGTTTGACGGATGTGGAAGATGTTAATGATGAGGCTGTCCTGATAACGAGTCAATTAGGTTTGATTGGTATACGGGACAGATTAGCTTCTACAGCACTTAACATTGGCTGCTCTGTCTCGTTTACCTAGAGCTGTTGGGCTAAGAGACAAGCTTGACCTCTCCTTACCCTTACTAATCCGCAGGAAGATCAGAGCTGTTAGGATAGCTGAAAAAAATGTGGAGGCTTTGGGTCAATTGTTGATCCACTTCACATACATATCGCAACCCTGGATTGTCTTAAATGTCTGGATTTCTGCACAGTAGTGTGCATGAGCACATGTTGTCATTCCTGAGAGAAATATTTACAGGCAAGAAGGCAGATAGTAAGGTGGCATTTGAGGTGCTTCTATTAAAGGTTTTGCTATAAAATGTAACAAGTTCAGAGTTTGTAGATACAGTATGTAACAGTAGCTTGGATGACTTGGATGCCCGTAACTTAAAGTCCTGTTAGTTCACGGGAGGCTGTGCTTATTGGCTCTCTGTATAAGTGATCATGTGTTTTTTTTTCCTCTGAGGTTCTGTAATAAGCGTGTGTTTGTAATGTGAGCAAACTGTCCAGCAAGCCTCTTGTAAAAGCGCCGTCCGCGAACTGCACCGCCGACTGTGGGCTGGCCGTCTTGGCACAGAGGCTGCTCTGTATCGTAAACAGGCCCGTCTAAAGGCCGTTGCATGATGTGAAGTTTATGCCCCGTCAAGAACCTCAGGGGCCGGGGATCTCTGTACACCAGTTCAGCTCCAGTGGGTACCTGCCTTCGTGCTGCAGTGTAGTTACGGTTTGAACTGTCTGAGAAGAAGCCACTTCATTGCTGCAGCATTGTGAGCAGCTGAGGCCTGGTCAGCAGGATCTCTATCTCAACTCTACTGCTGGCGGGGGGGGCAGTGAGAACCCAGGACCTGTACAGCGCTGTGAGTGGAGTGTCCAGAAAGGCGCTGGAGAAGTGTCAGGGATTTTCATTTTTAATCATTATTATCATGGCACAAGTTCCAGTCTTCTGGGTGGGAGTCTGTGTCGGGCCCTGCATGGTCCAAGAGGTGTTTGTGCCTGCTCGGTTGGGCGTTTGTATTGGTGCTTGCGGCCGGGATGCGTTCTCCTTTACACAGGGCTGCTCGATGTGATGTGACAGGGTCTCTTTGTGTCCCTCAGCATGAATTTGCTGGAAGGGAAGGACACACAACTGCCTTGCCGGAAAACGCAAACAGTTCTACAATAATTAATTTAATGACAATAATTATACGATAAATAATTAATGAGAATAGTTTTTTTCCTCCCCCCACCCCTAAGGAGCTGCTGGTGTTGCCTTTTAAGTGATGATTAAGCCGGAAGCTGTGAAGTCAGGTCACAGATATTATGCCGTGCCTGTGCTGGAGACGGTGACCTCTGACCTCCGGACAAAGCCCATTGCTCAGCTGACAGAAGATCCCTTCTGACCAAGAAGGTGAGGTCACGGCCAGTTCTGTCCCAGTCAGTTTGAGCCTGGCTGGACTACAGATGTGGAGGGGGAAGGGCTGAAGCTCAGATCTCGCGCCCTGAATAGATATTGCCTTTTGATCATCCACAGGGGGAGCTCAAGTGCTGTGTAGAGACTGTTAAAGCTTGAGGGGTGAAGCTAGTTTCGTTCCCACAAGCGTCTCTGAGCAGGTTAATGTGAAATCTGTTCCCTTTCAAGTACATCAAACCATTGCTTCTGGTTACAGGCTGCTTGGCAGGTGCATCCTTTTTAAGATCCTTCCTTTCTTTCACTGGAACAGAGCCCTGCAGGCCAACCACAGGAACAAGTGCACAAGCGCACAAGTGTGATATGATGAAGTAGATATTCACAGAGGCAGGGATCCTAATGTGTGAATATTCCAGGCCCTGGTGAATCATTAACCTTTTCTCAGACTTGTCTATGGGTTAAACATTTGCATTTCTAACCACTGATGACTGCTATGACGTAACTGCGGAGCAGTTTGTCTTCTGCAGTTGATGTAATGACAAATCTATTTTTAACTGGAAGGTGAAGCATTTATAATAACTCCTGATGCTTATATAACGCCTTTCTGGACACCCCACGCACAGCGCTGTACAGGTGGCGGGGATCCCCACACACCCCACACACATGAAGCCAGTTTAGAGATGGGGATTAGGAGGCCATGATGGGTAAAGGCAAAAGGGACGAAAACATCTCTCTTTGATCAGGGGCTTCTGAGAGCAGTAGATTTCCATGCGCTGAGATGAAGATGTGCAACAAATGAAAAATGTGGAAACAGGACAATTTGGTAGTCATTATATTATTCGTGTTTCGTCTCTGTCTTGCAGGTTGTTGTGAAACCAGCCATTTCCCCAGGGCGTTTTATCATGTTTCGTGCAGAGGCAGCATCTCTGTTGGTCTGCAAACACACTGCAGTAACTGTAACTTGAAGATGAAGCAGCCATCCAATAGAAAATCATACAGAAGTTTAACATTTTTACACAAATCTTGTAATATTTCCTTGTCGGCTCAAATGCAAACAAAAGTGGGTTTTGTGACCTCGTTTACAATTTGAGGGCATTTACATCTGCACCGTTTACAGAGCACCTGAAAGTAACTCCACAGATCTTACCCACAGTTAAGCGCCTGAGCTCTGAACTCCCAGCTCACACCCCGAGCTGCCCTGAATCTCTCTCACGCTCGCTCCCTCGTGTCAGCTGCAGCAGACCTTACTTGTTTTGAGCTGGCAGTCCTCTCTTGCTC